GAAGGCCAGAAATGTTTGAGGTACCAAGAGGTGGGAGGGTTTACCTGGTCCTCACACACACTTGGAAACTGTGGTTTCCTAGAGGCTGAGCTCAAGGCTTTAGTTTCTGGTCCAATCACCTAACCTCCAATTGTCAATTTTATTATATAATTCACTTATTATTTTCTCTTACAGGAAAGGGATCATCCAATTCCAAACTGCCATCTGTCCCTACAGTTTCTTCAGTGCCTGGAGATTCTGCTTCAAATATGAGGTAACCTCTTCCTCAGAACATCTGCACAGCTGTGTTGTGCCTCACATTTTTCATACTGCAGCTGATGTTTTGATTCTGCATCACTTAAGAATGTTGTTTTGCTGATGTTCAATACCTAATGAAGGTTTGGGAAAATATCACTGATTCCTTCTTATATGTGTGTATCACTTAAACATTGCCAAAAACTGTGTTCCTTTCTCCAAAATTTCAGCAACTTCCTTCTTTTTTTTTGTTAATCCCATGTATCTCTCTACTAGTATTACAGACAGGCTTGAACATGCCTTGGAAAAAGCTGCCCCACTCCTGAGAGAGATTTTTGTGGATTTTGCTCCCTTTCTTTCTCGGACTCTTTTGGGCAGCCATGGTCAGGAGTTGCTGATAGAAGGTACAAGTAAGTTTCCATTTGAAAAAAGTGGTTTGGTTCTTTTTTTTTAATGTGTGTGTTGTTTTATCTTGGAGACTCAAAATTTCCTTTTTTTCTTGCTCTGCCTTAGAAGCTTCTTTCCTGCCTGCCCACACAGTTGCTGCCTCTTGTTCCTCCTGTCTTTAGCCCTCTGAGGTCACTGTCATTACCTCCTCATTTTTCCCACCTCTGCTGCCTTTTCACCTTCATCTAATCTCACCCCTTCCTGTCTCATTATGTGGGACCAGCTACCTTTGTCTCTTAGCCTTCCCACTCTTCCAGGGAATGCTCCCTTAGAAGCTGGCATAGGAGACATGTTTTGTGACCTTTAAAAAGAAAACTTGGTGTCAGGGTCAACACTTTGGTACAAAGTGAAGCGTGGAGCACAGTGCAGAATTTTAAGTGCAAAGACCTTGCATTTTCACTGTGGTATTGTAACAGAAGGCTTCTTGGGAGCTTTCAGCAGAGCTTTTTTGGTGTGTAACTGGAAGGCAGTCACACAGCTAAGGGGGATACCTTGTCAGTGTTGAGAATCCTCTGGTACTTCTGAGAAGATGAAGATTCAGGTGCATGACAGTCATGGCTTTCCAATGGCTCAAAGTGTTTGGAGTTGAGATGATTGAGTTTTCTTCCTGCTGGTGGGTTTCTCTCTGTTTAAAAATGAGCTGCAGTTCTTCAATACAGACATTAATGTCCTTAACTAGAGAAATGCTGTTTGTTAGAATGCTTTGAGTTCACTCATGAGCACCCAATTTTCAATTTTCTAATTTGGTTATGTCATATAAATTGCTTTGTCCACTGATTTTTGAAGTGAAAATTGCAGGTTTGGTTTAAAGCAGTGAATTAAATTAGGGCATGAGCTTGTTGCAGCTTCCAGTAATGATACACTCCAGTGTTGGAAGCTCATGGTTGGTTAGCTTGAGCTGAGCACTTGCATGTGAGCTATATTCACACTAATCAGACCTCTTTGCTTCCTGGGGAGTTAAAATTCTTCTTTTTTATAACATTTTTGAAACTGTGTGTTCTGTGGATTACAGTGGGCATCCTGTGTGTGTCATATAAATTGCTTTGTCCACTGATTTTTGAAGTGAAAATTGCAGGTTTGGTTTAAAGCAGTGAATTAAATTAGGGCATGAGCTTGTTGCAGCTTCCAGTAATGATACACTCCAGTGTTGGAAGCTCATGGTTGGTTAGCTTGAGCTGAGCACTTGCATGTGAGCTATATTCACACTAATCAGACCTCTTTGCTTCCTGGGGAGTTAAAGTTCTTTTTTAAAACATTTTTGAAACTGTGTATTCTTTGGATTACAGTGGGCGTCCTGTGTGTGGTGCTGACTATGGTTAATGTTATCAGAAACACAATGAGCATATCAAACACTGCTAAGTGGTTTACTGAAGATATAAAAATTGAGACTTCATTAAATCACTGAAATCAAAGTTATTTACTTTGGGAATTTAGCTTACCTACCTTTTGGAGTAGGGAGAAGTGTGTGAATTGTCTTCTGTTGGTCTGAAAAAGATTCAGGGCTTCTGCTCTTGATTATACACGTGAGCATCGCTTTACCTGATTAAAATTTTAATGGAAGCTGAGTTATGAACAAATTTATTTCATTCATTTAATAAGAATAGCACAAAAGAGATTTTTCTCAAAGCTCTGTTTGCCAGGGAGGTAAATATCCTGTTTAGTTACATGTTTTTTCTTGTCTGAAGTAGAGAAAAGATAATCTGATTTCAAAGTATTTTGACAGTGGATTATATACACAGAGAGAGGAGTGTTTAATAGATTGGATGACCAAAAAAAGGGCAGGAAATTTATTGAGAGTGTATGAACTATCTAAACAAAAATAGACACACAAACCAAATTTTTGAGCCTAAAACCCAACCCAAAATGTGAACACAAATAATAATAATAGTCAAATTAGTTTATAAACAGTTGAGAATATATAATAGCTTACTGCTTGCACTTCTGCAAAGGTTTAGTGTGGGGTTAAGGGTCAAAGTACTAATAAGAGTGTTTGGGATGTCTGCTGCCATGAAACAAAATGGAAACTTGATTGATAGCTGGGGGCTGAAAGGAGAAGGCGCAGTGGAGAAAGCAAAGGTCATGAAGCCATTTCCCTTCTCTGCATATATAATGACTCAATCCTTCAAGAAATAGCCAAACGTAGATACAGTGGATTAATATAACATATGTTAACCACACTTCTGATCATTTTGACACAGAAACATTTATGAAACTGGGCATAATGGAGGTAATGTGTTGCCATTAGCCGCATCTCTAGATGCTCCCCCTCTCACATACCTGCTTTTATTTTGTGCTGATCAAGTGCAAAACTGAACTGGAAGTAGTGTCAGAATTTCAGCTTTCTTCTGATTGTCACAATGCCTTCTGTCTGTTGCACTTCAAAACAGTTTGTGTTCACTGGTGCCACATAAGCATGCATGTGCTTAGACTGTGTTTTCCTGTTGTAGGTCTTGTGTGCATGAAATCCAGCAGTTCAGTGGTGGAGCTGGTGATGCTGCTCTGCTCTCAGGTGAGGTTTGGCTGACAATGTTCTCTGACGTGGCTCTCTTTTCACTCTCATTTCCACCATGCTCACATTTTACTTGGAATTTCACTTTAAATTTAAGGTTGCGTGTAACAGGTAAAAAGATTATCGTGTGCAAAGCCCTGTGATTTAAAAAAAATCATAGTAATTGCCTCTATTCAGTAGGAAAGAGAAGATGCTAGGGGGTTTATCTTGCCTTACTATTAAGCATTAAAGTAACCTCGATGGGGGTGTGCCTGAGTAATATTATGCTGTCATTATTGTAAGATAAAATAGGATCAATAAAATATTAAGATTGTAGAAACAGATTGATTTCTTCATCTTGGCATGCTGAATCCTCTGGGGTGAATAGGATTTTTTTTCTTTTGTGTGGAGGTTATGAAATGAGTGATAAATACTTTTGAAACCCTGCCATTCCTAATTGATTTGACAAGTGCTAAGAATCAGAAAAATTTTAGAAAGCAGCCATGGCTGTCAGCAGTTTGGGGCATTCTACATTCCTCATGGCAAAGTGATTTTATATATTTAAGAACCTGAGAATTGCCTGTTTCTGTGGTTAGAAAAGAGCCAGAGCCTAAGGAACTTTCTGAAAATTGTATATGCTCTGTTAATTGGGTTTTCTTTTTGGGTTTCTTGCTTTCTTTTTTGTAATTACATGGAAGACTGTTTTTATTGAGCCTTTCTTGTGGTGCCTTAAAAATGATACCTTTCTGGTAGTAAATTCCCCTACTTAAAACTTTAAAATAGCCTTTTTTAATGGGAATGGTATTGGTCTAGAGGTCAAGGGTTCTGACCCATTTCAAAACCTTTGACCTTCATTTACAACCCTTATGGTTTGCTTGCCTGACGAATAAGGATAATGCAAAATTAATGTTTCTTCACATCGATTTATTCGTTTTAGTGCCTATATTGCCAAATTTATTTAGAGCGTGCTGATAGACGTTTCATGAATACAAATAAAAGAATCATAGAAGGTGTGAAAAATCGATAGTCTGCGTTGTCAGTGAAACCCAATAAGAACAATTACTTCTGGAGATTACACCTAATAGATTTTACAATGAACTAGTGAAGAGTAGTTATGTTTTCTAGTGAGCTTATTATTAACGGATGTATCTAGAACTTTGCTCATCTGGTTTTCCATCTTCGTCAGGAAATATGTTTTTACCCTGAAAGAAATGTAATATTCCTCATGGAACGTTTGGAATTTAGAGATGGATATTTTACACATATGCCAAGAAAGCCATACACAAGTCTTACTGCTCACCCATTAAAGTGTTAGAGTAAAGCTGATCTAAGTATTAAATATATGCCTGACAGTTTGGTGTTACCATTTTAAAAATCAGTTTTCAGTACCCTTGCTGCTTCTGTCAATAATTAGCAGTTGACCTTTCCTTCTATTTTGGTAGGGTAATCTAATCTTGTTTTGAAATCATGTTGTGCTCCGTACAGTATGTCACTTTTTGGGTTTTGGGAAGTGGGGAGGATAAGGAATAAATGACGTGCTCTAATGCATCTATTTGTCACACGTGTCACAGTGCCACTTCATGCTAATCTAATCAAATGGAGGAGATCCTGATTGCTTGGCAGTGCTGGTTGCAGACTGAGGTGGTTCTTTGTGAAATAGCAGAAATAAACCAATAAAGTCACAAAGACCTCAAAGTCTTTTTAAAGTTACATAGCAGCTGTAATTTTTGGCACAATATGAAAAATGATGTGAGAAATGAATCTAAAATTAGCTCCAGATGTATACAGATTGTTCTGGGGTGATAATTACGTTTTTAACTTTGAATTTTCCTAATTCAAAGAGGTCAGCGTGGCAATCACAGAAGTGATTTATTTTGTTAAGAAGTGAACTGTCTTTTGCTACATGAAAGCTTGAGAGATATGAAATTGAATTTCAAGTTGACATTTTACAGATACTGGGAGGAGATGGGGTTGAGGTTGATTGATTTTATTTTTCCTTTTTTTTTTATTCCTACTTCTTTTTTTTTTGCCTGAGATAGGGTGGGAAGCGAAGCGATATCCTTTTGCTAAAATTTTAATTAATTTTTAAGACTAGATGGAGAGGATGAAGTGCCAAAGATCAAAAGATCAGGTCAAAAACTAGTTTTTAATCACATAAATAATGTGGGATAGTTACAAAGTAAGTATCTGCAAATTTGATTTAAAACTTCACAAATTTGTCACCCATCATTTTATGAAATTGAAGGATTGCTCTGATTAATATCTTTGGTGTTTTCTATGCTAACCTCTGCCTGAAAATTTGTTTTAAACGCTGTATATGTTATCTAAATGCTTGAATTGTTCTGAAACAGACAAAATTTTTTCTGATATTTAGATTTATGGCTGGCATATGTTTTTTTTTTTTAGAAGTGGAATAATAATATCTCACAAGTAATTTTTTCAGAAAATAGTGGGGGGAAAAAAGCTCTTTCCCAGGCAAAGTGGTTTAAAAAAAATATAAAAGATACCATTCTGTGAAACTACTCATGATGCCTCTTTAATTTCTTCTCTTGTTTCAAGTTCATATATTTAGGCATATGGAGAAAGGCTGTTGCTTTTGCATTTTGGTTTTGTGTTTATGTATTGCTATATTGTTTCATGTTTAACAGAAGATAAAAAGAGAAACAGGTGGTTTGAGATACAGGCAGAAGGCGTTTCCTAAGACAAAAACAGTTGTGTTTTTCTGATAGACATGCTACGTTTTGAGCTGTGCCTTTGTGTGTATACTTAGGTTTATATAAATCTATCAAAACATAAAGAAATCCTTCATTTAATATTACTGCAAAGTGTTCCTGCTTATTTGACATTAATATCATTTTTGAAAGAGTCGACGTTGCATTCAAGGCCACTTTACAAAAGCGTTGTGCTGCTCATCCTAATTCAGCCTGACACACATTCCAATAACACTACCTCCCTTCTAGGGCTTAAAACTAAATTTATGGCCGAGCATTGTGAAGTGCATCATTTAAAAATGGTTTCAACCCAAAACATCTAATAAATAAATAATGTGTATGGCTACTCAGTAGCAGACTCTCCAGACTAGAAATCATTCCATCGGATACTCAACAGTCCACTATCGGAGAGGGCTGTCAGATAAATCTTAGAGTAGCTGCATTCATGTCCTGTAAATCACATGTTATTGTCTGAGCCTTCTGCCAGGTCATCTATTCTTTTCCCATTTATCAGAAATGCATACAAGACGGTGAACCTGGAAGCACCATCTAGTCTGGCCTGGCATCCTCTTGGAGTAATTAAACCAGCTAAACGAGAGAAGTCTCGTGGCTGTTATCCCTTTTAAATGAGTGACGTCAGAATGCTAGAGGTGCTTGTTGGGGAACAAGGCTCCTGCGTGGGGAAATGGTGAGATCACCCCTGAATAAAGCATTTTTCTCTCCATAAGCCTAAAACTCTGAGGGGCACACATGAGTTGAGTGCATATTTATCAATGAAGCAGCTATGCTACTGTGCTTCCTTTCATTTGTTAGATGTTTATGACTAAGGAGGACTGTGATCTCCCCAACTCTCCCATGGAGGCATTAAAAACATGGAGCTCTTCCTCACATACATGAAGCATTTGTCCTATTATTGGAGCTCCAAGGTGAAAAGGTACAAAATAAATTCCGTGGTTTTCCTTGATGCCTTGGAGTTTACAGAATTTGCAGCACTTGAAAAATGCTCATTTCTGTAGTAAATCAACAGAATTGTCAGTGGAATATGTGTAAGAGAACTAATTAGGTGGTTCTTGTCAGATCCATCTTTGACTTAAGAGCTTTTTTTTTCTACCCAATCTAAATTTTGTAGACCATAAAATAACCTTACAGAAGCTGACTCAAACACCATTCAGCACTTGTTTAATTTGCTAAAATCAGTAGAATGCCACCCAGCCTTTTAAAAAGTTTGCAATTAAAAATGAATCAATCCTGCAACAACTTTTATGACCCCCCCACCACCTCTACCTGCACGTGCACCCTGCATGCTGGCCCAAGGTGTAAAAGCTTCTTGGTTCCTCCCTCCTTTGCCCCTGTTGTTTCCAAGGGATTAAGGGCACGTTCTTGATTGCTGATGATATATGTGAAACGAAGACCAATGTTTTAACACATTCAATCTCTGGTTATTTTATCTTCTAGAAATCCTAATATGATCTATTGTGACGTAGCTGTAGCTATTAGATTTATACTGGACCTTGATAAAGTATATCTTTCATGAGGAGATGGAAGAGGGAAGCACCAACTCTGATACTCCAGATTTTGTGTGTGTGTGCAGTGATAGCATCTGCTCATGTGGCCCAGTGAAATATGGCTATGGCTGAATGTCCTGTGCTGTGCTCATGGTTTTTGGAGTTATTTTTTTGAGGGAAAAGCATGGTCCACAGCAGGCCATTTGCATCTTAAAAACAGAGCAGAGGCTGGTTAGTAGGATTAAAACAGAAAAAGTTACATTGTGAAAGTTGATCTTACAGCCTGTGTAGGCAAACTTACAGGTCTTCAGCTCTGCCTCTTTCTTGTCTAGCTCAGTTCTCCAAACCAGTGATCACCAGTTACATAGTGAGATATTTGCAGCAGGTTTCTCTTTAGCATGATCTCTCTTCCATGTGCTACTAAATCACTTTGCTAAGGGATTCTCCTGCTCATAAAGAAGTCAATATTCATCTTCTGCATGGGCAGTACCTTACTTGGGTTGTATCTCTTAATCTGATAAGGAATCTTAATTATTTACACAATTTCAGTGTGTGCCCTGCAGCCATACACTGATACAAGCAGTATGATAGCAGATTTCCCCTAAGGAAGAGCAATAGGATGGTAGTTAAGATTTTGAGTTTTCAGCAGATTTTTTTTTCACACATCTCTCCTCCACCCCAGTAATTAAAGGCTCATAAAATGCAATAGGACCTTCAAGCTTTTCTGGCTATCCTGTGCTCAGAAAAAAGCTTTATCAGTGATCCAAATTCATGACCTCAGGAAGGGATTTCTGCAGCGTGTTCT